CCAAAGGGTCATGCCAAGGGCAAGGAAGCAATAGACTGGCCCAGGGCCAATTAGGAGAGGTCACCATGATGTCTATGGCTGGACATCTAATTTGTGGCATCATAAATGCTCTGTAGCTTCTTCAGTAGCTTGCACTTTGAAGAACAATGCAAGATGACAGAGACAGTGCTATGTTCCCTTGAAGTTTATACAGACTAGCTCCCTGAGGCGAGTTATTATTGTGGAGTTGAACAAAGATTCTTTTTTTCAATCGTGGCTGCTCCCTTGAGCATGGGGTATATTCCAACAGCTCTGCATTCTACGCCATGGTGTACAGCAAATCCTGGGCTCAAGTAGAGGTCCAGTTGTCCCACACACACTGAACAATTCGAAGTCCCCGTTAGTCTGAGGTCTTTAGCCACCATTTGGGTCAGTGGCCTGACTTCTGGATTTTACACACCTGTAAAGTCAAAACGGAAAACAAAGCCGCCCAACAGCAACAAAACATGCGGTGACCCAGCACGCGGCTACCATTAAAGAGAAAATGAGAGTGAAATAATCTACTGTTTGAAAAGTCTAAAATTTATAATTCTGTGAAATAAAAGTCTTTCTAACAGCAAAATGGCAAGAAAAGTAACTTCAGGGAAAAAAAGATCAATTTTAAAAATTGAGTTAATTTAACCCAATGAAAAAGTACATTTTATGGGGGGGGGGTGTCCATTTCAGTGCATTGCTAAACAGCTTTTAGGCAACACTGATCATAGACCCTCTTCCGCCCGTGAATAGATCAGACTTAAAAGATATCAAGCAGGAAAAGAGTCAGTCTATTTTGAAGTAATTCTGTCAAATAAGATTCTTTCATTTGAGCTTCTATGGTTTCTTTGCTCATTCAGTTTCTAGAAACATTGAAATTGATTCTCATGATTTTTAAACTAAATCTCAGCACTAGCTTGAAACAGGTTTGCGTCACGGTGCCCTCCTTGGAGGAAGAAGTAGCTCTTCTCCATCCCCCGTGTCATAACACATGTGATCTTCAAACGGAGTCAACTCTCCCCCCAGTTTTGGCTCCTTAGTCTTTGTCACCGGTTCTCCCAGGCCGTTTTCCATTCGTCCTTCCTCTCGGTCCACAGGACATTGCGGGGTGCGGGGCGTGCAGTGCAAGGAGCATTCAGACCTCAAGTCATTGATGCCTTGTGCAAACAAGGCTGTGACCGTGCTACATGCTCACGAGCCACTGGGAATGGGATGAGGGGACACATCCTAGCTTGTGTGAGTGAAGCCTTCAAAGAGTCATGAGAGCTGGCCAGGGCAACCGGTGACATTCCTCAGGGTACACAGGGCACCAGGAAAGGGGTGCAGAGTGCAGGCTCTGGGGAACACCGCCCAGATTCCAAGCTCCTCCTTCCACATGCTGGGGACTTCACCCCTCTGAAGTTGCCAGAACTGTAAAAGGTGTATCCTAACACACTTCAACTGAGTTGTTCTGAGAAATAACAACTGAACGGGTGAAGCTACAAGGACAGTGCCTAGCATGTAATAGTGGCTCAGGGAAAAGCACGAATGCCTTCCACTTAGATTTGTTTATCCATTACCTAACACAATAATGTTAAATAGTAGGTGTCTAAGGAATGCCTTCCACTTAGATTTGTTTATCCATTACCTAACACAATAATGTTAAATAGTAGGTGTCTAAGGAATAGCAATTGGCCATCTTGGTGTTCGACCATTGGTATTAGTGTATCTCCATTTCTAACAAACTATTAGACTTTTATGTTGGCCAAATAATCTTGCTTCTAAGTAGTGGTTCAATTATCACCAAAGCTGAAGTGTAAAATTACAGTCCTGCATATGTCTTTGACTGAATACAGACATTTCCTTTTGAACTCTTTGTGAAGCTGGCTACAGTATCATTGCAGCAAGGCTTGGTGGGCTGGAAAAAGAGACTGTCAATGTGTGAGTTACAGGCAAACTAAGAGTGTTGATTCAAGGCTGGTGGTATAAAAGTCCCCCAAATTTCCTAAATTTTACTCATGTCAAAAACTAAAAATTTTTGCCTAACATGCCTAGATATTCAGAAGCGACATCATTACAAGATACAGATAAGCAGGATTCAGCATCCCTTTTCCCTTTCTCACTGAGGACCAGTGCACAGACTGTAGGCACAGCTTTTGTCCTCAGGAACTTCAATCTAGAGTTGGTATTTCGTGTTGTATTTGTAGTTTGAAGAAATACCTGAAGATTGTGTTTTTTTTTTTTAATTTTTAAAATTGATTTTTAGAGAGAGAAGAAGGTAGAGAGAGAGAAGCATTGATGTGAGAGAGAAAGGTCAATGTGAGAGTGAAACATCAATCAGCTGCCTCCTGCACGCCCCCTACTGGGGTTTGAACCCGAAACCCGGCCGTGCGCCCTGACCGGGAACTGAACCAGCAACCTTTCGGTGCACAGAATGATGCCCAACCAACTGAGCCACTCCAGCCAGGGATGAAGATTGTGTTCTTAAAGTTTGCTTTTCTGATTTCATATCTTTTGGGGAGACAGTTGTTACGCTGCCGGGTGGCAGAGATAATTTCCACTCTCTGCTACCTGGCGTGTAGTCATGGCAGGGGGGTCCTTGGAGGTGTTCACTGATATGTGCCTTCATTCTAATCACATATCACTGAAGATGTGCAATATCCTCAGCTTTTTTAAAACTGAGGATGGTGTGTGTGTGTGTGAGTGCACATGGGTATGCACACACAGGAGCCACCAAGGAGGTGTTCATGGCACCAAGATGGCTCATAAACAAGGCAGGGCACAATCATGCTAAGCAAAGTGCCATCTGACTTACATGTAAGTCATGGGGGCAAAAAAGCTTATATTCACATATAACACAGGTCAACGTTGTAAGGTCACAGTAGATTCAAGTTAAAGAGCCTAAATTTAAAAAGGCAGTAAAAGAAATAACAAGATTCATTTTTGGAAAAATAAGCACCACTCAGTGTGGGTGTTGCTTTTGCTTGAAAGCGAGTACAAACTTTGCCACTTACTACATGTATGACCTTCGGCAAGAAACTGTGTCAGGGAAAGTGGAAATGTCTGTCCCACAGTATTATCACAAGGACTGCACGGGCCATTATGTGCACAACGCTTAGCATAGATAGCACTTGGCAAATAGTAGACAGTTTAAAGGAGTTATTTATTATTATTATTATTATTATTATTATTAGTTATACTCCCCATCCTTGCATATTTAATTGGGCCCTTGGACAATTAATACCTTAACTCAATGAAATGAGGCCTGAGTGGTATAGTCTTTAATACTTGGTATGGAATTAGAGCAGATATATAAATTTGTGCTGGTTTGCCCATTATTTGATGTTTGTGTATACAATTGCAGCAATTCTATTCCAAATTCCAAAAAGGTCACCTTTATTGTATTTGTTCACCCGAGTGTTCTGGGCTGAAAACAGGTAATATTTGTTAACAGTATTCCACGGACAAAAATCAGTAGTGTCAAAAAAAATAATCATTTCAAAAACCCTCAGCAGAACAAGCCGGTAGTGAACTTCTGAAAATCTGATGAGTACATTGGGTAGAATTTTGAAGGTGACCCTTCATTGCTTGGAAAAGTAAGTTTCTCCATCCGCTCACCCAGCATCTTCTTTCTGTGGCACACTGAAGACAAAGAGAGGGGTTCAAGCAAACATGAGAAACTGGGGCCCCGAGCATCACCCCAGGGCCCGTTTTTAGAGGGGAGAACGCAGCGCTGTGGTGGCCCCGGAGAGACTGGGGGGACTCCTGCAAACAGTGCGCGACGCTCGGGAGCAGAGCTGGCCGCGAGGACCTCCAGGAACAGGCTCAGAGCTCTTTAATAAGTATTCCAGGGAGTCAGGCTTTCCTGGAAAAAACAAATTAGTGTGAGAAGCCAGTACTGTGCAATTTCAGTTTTAAAAATAGCCGCGTATTGTGCAGGCTGCTGTGCGCAGCAGAGCAAAGGAGCCCTTGTTCGTGCCTGCCGCCGCTCCCGCGTTAAAACAGCAGCTGCACTGAAATTCTTGCTCGGCAGAAACTGCAAAGGTCATAAGGTTTGTATCACTTGGGATGACTTTTTGGTCCCTCCAATGACAAAGTTCGGGGGTGGCTTGCGTCCCCTTTTATCAGTCGGACTTGCAATACAGGGCAGCCAAGTGGTGGCTCTGCCTCTCTCTGGGGACCAGGGCTGCTCCCGGCGCCTGCGTCAGCTCCTCATTTGCCTAATTGCCCTGGGAGCCTGGCGGGGACCTTCCCTGCAGCTGTGGCTCTGCTCGCTGCAGAGACCCTACCTGGCACTGGAAGTTGGTGCGTCAGCATTTTAGGTAGAAATGAATGAAAAATCAATCAGGATGACTGCAGTGGAAGCATGCACAACTCTAACCTCGTTTGTCCATAATTTTCAACTATTCACCGTAGACCCAAGCAGTGTTTTACATGGTAAATGAATCTGTGCAAAAGTGCTGCTTCTGCTTAATCGGGGTGTTGTTGTTTTTGTTTTGTCCTGTTTTCCATTTAGAACAAGCAAATCTAACCTGCTTAGGAAGCCACATGGAAAATGAATGGTGATGTTAAGTTTCATGCAAATATTCTGTTTGCCCTGGTTTAACATTCAGTGATAAATATCCATATATGGTTATATGAAATTGTTTTATTAACTTCAAATTCAGAGGTTTAGACAATTTTTTAAAAGTCTATTATATCCTTACCACATGTCTTTGTAACTTGCTATAACACTCTATTATCAAAACTATGCTGTCTTCAATTTTACAATTCTGCAAAGATAGAGTTAAACACTGTTTGGACTCTGGCTACATAAGGGAAACTGAAATTGTTCAAAGCTGCAGTCTTCAGCTCCCAAAGACAGCTACAGAAACTTTCTGAACAGATTGGGTTAAATATTTTTACAGACCCATTCATTCTGTGATGATAAGGCGGTAATAAGTTGTGCAGTGCAACACTCCAAAGGGTTGCAAATCTCACAAGCCTCTTTGTGTGTGATGCTCTCACAGTAAAGAAGAGTCTTGGGGCTACAAAGATGAAGAGCCTACTTCTTCTGGTGCTGATTTCAATCTGCTGGGCTGACCATCCCTCAGACAACTATACCCTAGATCATGGCAGAGTTATTCACATCCAAGGTAAGAAAACACAGGTTCTCTTACGAAAGTCAAATGAATTTCAAGTTACTTAGAGTTGAGATGCTTGGTGAGTGTTTCTTCATTTCAGTTCTGCTGCATTGACTTTTCCTTTCCCTTTCTGCTAATTGGTGAACATGCTCCCTGGCGTTTGAATACTATAGCATTACAGTAGAGTTAAGAATTGGGGACAATTAAAGTAGAATGGCTTATGAATGTCCCACTACAGGGAGTTGATACAATTGTTCAAGGCTTTTGAATATAGCTGCTACCTTTTAAGTAGAACTGAGGGCATAAAGTATATTTAAATGCAAGGCGAAGGGGGGAGAAATAGGAAGTAAAACTTACTATGTAAGGTCATGCTGTTGGAGTAATCCTTAGGAAAAACAATGTGAAAATGAAAGTCAGACAAGCTAAGCTTCAGGAAAAAGTAACTTACCCCATCATAATCTTCTCTGGTAAATATTTACTTCCGATAGACCAGTATATTGCCTCTGCATATTTCTTTTCAGCTCAGCTGAATCCTGAGCCTGAGAGCTGTAGCAAGATTTGGGGCTGCAGTGCAATGCAGCTGTTTCCTCAGTCCCCGCTTCAGATGAGGGACATCCTGCATTCGGAAAGCTAAGAGACTTATGCAGTAAGGAAAAGATAGCTCTAAAGGAGCTGTGGCTTCTCTCTGTGCCCTTGTATGCTGAATAATTAAAAGAATGACAGAATTGAACAGTTTAAACATATGATGTCGTTAATTTTAGGTGAACTCAGCTTTAGGGACCAGAGGCATTCTAACTTTGCTAAGAGAAATAAAACATCAAGTTCTGCCTTCAAGGTCAAAAGTGTAGTCTCAGAAAATTGCATCCACTGTTGCAAAGTATGACTGGTGAAGGTCAAATGATAGTGTAAGTCTGGCTGAAAGTATTTTGCTATATGTATTATGACTACCCAAATAGAATTCGGAGTTTGACAATAGCTAGCTGTTTTAGACATATCTCTTTCAGTCCTTTTTGCTTCCAACAGCTTTATGTTTTTCACTGTGCGACTGTGAAAAGGAATTATATCATTATAAATCTTACTATGCAAGCTGCTGACTCAGCTGTTTTTTAATGTATACAGTAGAGGAACCAAAGCTGTTTCCCAGACGCTGTATTCACACAGAGAGACTTCTGATGAGGAACACATCTTTTGACATCTAGTCACAGAATTCAGTTCAGCCAAGAGGGTACCACCTATCATTATTAACGACAGCAGGGTTGAAGCTGATGTAATAGCTGGGGTTTCAAGCTATTATTAGACATATACCTGTTATATCATGAGTTATATACAAACTATTTAGTCTAAATTATACCCAGAGTATGAAAATATTATTTTTGAAGTGTACAAACATTTTAAAAATTAGTCCTGGGTAGCCTTTAAGTCAGATTTAAGTTTTGTCAGCGAGGAAATCTTCTGTGGCCCCAGCCTTTCCATCCCCATATCCTCTGTTGGAATTTACTGTAAAGGAATTCCTGACATGAGGTATCAGAATTATCCAGATTATTTGCATACACTCTCTAATTAAAAAAAACCAACTTGATAGTTCACTTCATTTTAATTGTAAATTCATATTCTTAGAAAGTTGCTCATAGCTCTCAAGTAATAAAACTAGAAGGCCTGCCTTTTGCTTGTGCAAGTTAATACTGAAATGTGATTTGGGTCAGGGCTATGATGGTATGTCCATATATCTTAATTTATTTCAAAATTGCTCCAAATACTGTTCTTGCTACATTTCACCTAATAGAAAGTTTTCCTTTTCTTTTATGATGGCAATTAGGCTGAACATTCACATTCTTCAGTCCATCAGAGAATCACTTCCGAGCGGCCTGACATGATTTCGGTTGTCTTTCACAATGCAAGCATAAACCGGGCAGCATGGCAGATAATCCCTACAGCAGAAAACCTGCATTTCTTACTTGAAAAAACTAGATTCTCTTCTCATATTTAAACTTTTATTTATCAAACCATGGCCCAAGAAGAACTTAAAGGAGCTGAAACCCTCATAAAATTTTATAAGAATTGTGCAGTCAGATGATTAAATTAGTAAATCTGACTCAAATTCTTGAATTGTACTGATATGCGGTATGAGTCTCTCCCAGTGATAGAAAATTGTTCAAAATTCACGCTACTGCAAACACACTTTTTCTATCTCCCATTTTTTATTAAACTGCTGTGTTTGTACACTTAAGTTCCCAGGGCTAAATAACACCAGGGCAATTTGCATATTATTCCCAAATTCTCCACAGCTACCTTGGTAAGGATGTTCAACACTGTGATAGTACATTCTTGAGTCTCAGGCATAAGAATTCCCTAATTATTTTTCTGAAGGCTTCCTCCCAAATTTGTTGTGGGAGAGTCTATAAATATATGGGCATAAAAACATTTAGTCTGGCTTTTTTTTTTTTTTTTAAGTGAGATTACCAGGAAAGAAAAGATAAGCGTAGATCCCTGTGCAAAGAGTTTCTGGTGAAAAGCACGTTTCTGGTTATGAAAAGGGAGCTCTCCCAGCTTCCCATGAAGAAAAACACAGCCTTAGATAAAAATGCACATGTACTAATTCATTCCTTTTACTTTTTTTATTGAAGTAACTGGTTTACACAAAAAAGCAAGCTTTACTCGTCCATGGAGTCTGCTAAAATTGTGCAATTAAGATATTAGCTTGTATATCCTATACTGCCCCCAGGGTAGGGGATAGTAATTTCTTCAACTACAGCTACAGGAAGAGATAGCTGCTGTTAACACTGTCTCAGTAACACTCTCAACTAATGCATTACACCCCTCGTTTCATGATACACCGCGTCACACAGCTTCGAAATCCTTTGAAATGTGAGACCAGCAGGAAGGGTTTTATACGGAGTACCAGATCACACAAAATTGTCTCTTAAAAAATATTTGCTTGAGGTCCAAAAACTTTGTGTAGACTGTTAATTACCAGAAGAAGTTCAAAGATAATGAACAGACTTTTTTTAAACACAATTTTTAAGAAGATATTTACATAGACGCCAGAGAAATTATATGACCATCTGCCCACTAAGCAAGGCAAAAAGCAAAACAGTAAGATCGATACTGAATGCGGAGCTGCCCTCCCTCACGCAGGCCGAGAGCCAGGCCTTCCTGCCTCTGGCGTTCAAGTGCAGGAGTTTTTCCCTAATGCCGCTTACTGACTTTAGACACTGGACAATTAATCTCTTCAAGCCTCAGTTCCCTCATCTGTAAAATTGGGCATAATCACAGTTTATTCCATAGAGCTTTGTAAGAATTAAATTAGATAATATTTGGATGAGTGCTCACTACCAAGCCTGGCACACAGTAAGCTCCCAACAGATGACGGCATTGTCCGCTCCTTCACTTTCCTCGTAAAAACGGGCTTTCCAAACTTAGGAAGTTTTCCTTTAATATACTTACTAGGTGAACACAGAGTGGCTAAATGTTACTCTCTTAAATCAAAAAACATTAAAAAAATAATAAGAGGAATATTGTTCCATTCTATGTAATAAGTAAATTTTACTGTCACCTTCTCAAAAGATAACACAATAATATATTTTTAAAGAAAAAATTGTCAGGAGTTTTTCTCTGTGGGTAGAAAAAATAATGTAGTATATCTGTCTACAACCTCTGGCAGAAATGGACAGTCCCCCCTCAGTGGGTTGATTCCTCCTTCCTGTGCGTCTCAAACAACTCTTCAGCTTAGCATGTGTTACTTTTTGTTAAAATGCTCCCTTTCCTCCTGGGAGTGTCAGCTTTATATAACCCCACAGCTGTATAGTTGTGCCTGGCACATAGTAGGTGCTCAATATGTACATGTTTATTGAATAAATGAATGAGTGTAATGGAATATATCCAAATTACCACTATCATAATGATCATTTCTTAAATCCTGTGGCATCCATGGCATTTAGCAACGCAATCACACATTGTGTAGGCTTAATGAACATTAACTAGATGACTGCTTTCATTCTAAGGGTGACGAAAGCTAAACCATAGTCCACAGAATTTAAGAACTTATGAGGACTTTGGTATAGAGCATCTAGATCAATGTCCCATCGGACAAATAAAGAAATCAAGACCAAGAGAGTTTACGTTTCTTGTCTCAGGTTGCATGACTAATGAGGAACAGTGTCTCTTGGCTAATCCTTCCCCCTTCTACAAATATGGACTCATTTCTCACCTTCTTAACGAATTTTCTCTGACTACTACACTCTGCCCCTCCTCGGACCCCGATCTCTATCACATCTTCTTTTCTTTTTCTCGGCAGCACTGGCTAACACCTTTACTTATTTTTATGTGATCATTTGTGTCCACCTCTGCCACAAGAACATGTCAGCTTCACAAGGGCAGATACATTTGATGTATCCCAGTCACCTAAATCAGTACCTGGCACACAGTAGGCGATCAATAAGTGTTTATTGAATAAATCCAGGACCAAAGTCCAGGTACTGTTCCTAATCAAGTCCTTGCCAGTCTTTACAAATCTCAGGGAAATATTTTCAGTTCACAGAATGAGAGGGAGTAAATGAAGAATTATGAGATCGGACAGCCAATTTTGTTTGGCCGTGTGCATGGCTCCCACACTGCACACAGCACCTTACACTCCACGAGAGGCCACCAGAGGCAGGACGCGGCAGTCTTCCTAGCGTGTGAATGCAGCTTTGAAGGGTAGTCAAGTTATATTTGGCCACTGTACTGCTATCCTGTTCCTTATGTAATATCTGCAGAGTCGGGATCTAATGGTGCAGAGTGGATCAGAAGGAGTGGAGGGAATTTAATAATGCATGATCACAAACCATCCACTGAGCCAAAGTTTAATCGGAGAGCTAGATAAAGTGTTACTCCGGCTTAATTTTCTCTCTTCCACTTAAAACTCATTTGGATTCTATGAGTCTATTATGAAAAGTTAAGTAAATTCATTTTGTCTTTTTAAGACAGAGTATGCTATTTGCAGCCACAAATGCAAAATCCACAAATATCAAGTA